GAGGAGGAGGAGGAGGAGGAGGAGGAATATGAATAGGAGGACTAGAGGAAACTCGAGATGTACCAACGACGCAGCAATACACCCTCCCGTCCCAGCCCCCCACCCCATAAGCCGTTACGAACACATGTGTTCCTTTCGCGAAGCGTCCCCCTCGAAGACAGGGGTGGGCCCGAAAGTGGAAGGACGTGCACAACGGAAGCCCCATTCTGGGGAGGAGCCGCCCTCCATCCGTGTAGCTGGTCCAGTGCTGTGACCTTGGCCACCACATCTACAGAAGACTTCGGCGAGACCCCCACGCTGAAAACGACCACCCTTTTTATCCTGTTGCATTGCTGCTCGGTTTCATATGCTGAGTAGTATCGCTTGAGCAGTCTCAGGCGGGAGCCTCATTTTGAAAACGGCCCGCCCTCCGTGCGTGCCATTGTTGGATGTTTGAAAAGCTGCGCGTGCGGGGCGCCACGGCAAGCGCCCCAGTCCGAAAATGGGCCGACCTCCACCCGTGTAAGTGTGTGCTGTGCTCAGTAAGGGCGTGCGCGTCGCCAAGGCGAGAGCCACATTGCGAAAATGCCCCGCCCTCCATCCGTGCAATTGGTGGCAAGATTGACCTGCAAGATGGTGAACGGTGAGAAAGGTGCAGGCGAACTTCTAGGGCAACCGAGGGCCAAGCAGTGGCAGGGCGTCCGCATAGTGGATCGAGCCGCCACTCTGCATGAGAGCGCGCGTTGGCCCGAGCATTTCGGGCGACACCCAGACATCCGACGATCGCATGCTTTCAGCTGACGCCCAAGACCTCCCGACACCTAGCCCAGGGGAGCAGTTTTGCGTATTCGATCAATGTGTGATGGCCCTTGGGCCCAAAAGTCGGAACAAACGCCGCGCCTGAACACAAAGCCGCATCGCAGGATTGGCCGTCTGCGGGGCTTGGCGTTCGCTTCGTCTCGTCCTCTCGTTGGAGGGCTCCGACCCCTCCCCAAAAAGAGGAGACTGCACCCGAAGGAGACGGATGGAGGAAGAGGAGGATATCGGAAGACGAGGACGAGGAGGAGGAGGAGGAGGAGCGGGAAGAGGAGGAGCGGCAGCAAGAGGAGCAGGAAGACGACGGCGAGAAGGAGGAGGAGGAGGAGAAAGAAGAGGAGGACCAGTGGAAACCCAAGACGCGTCAACGATGTTGCACCTGCAATAAACCGTCCCTTCAAGTTCCCATTTTTTCTCACAGGTCCCTGCGAGGATTCGTCTTCACTGCGGGAAGTGACCCATTGAGACAGCCGCCTGAGAATTCTCAATCGTGTACAGTTCCTACGATTGCAACGCCGCGAATCAGCGTGACTGCTGCGTCTTGTTAACCCTAAATCGTACCAGAACGCCGCCCCTGGGACTCCAACACCGCGAATTGACTACAGCCTAAACCCTGCCAGAGCATTATCCCTTGGACTTCAACCATACGAACCCTCGGAACTGCTGCGAACCTTTCATTGAGGATCTGCGTAGCGCTATGGCGAAAGGCACATTTTGAAAACGAACCGCCCTACATCCGTGCAAGTGTTGCAACATGGTGAGACGACTGTGAGCGGCGCTTGGGCGAGAGCCACTTTCAAAGGGAGCCACCCTCAATCCCTGAAGCTGTTGCGACCTTTAAGACGAATGTGCGCGGCGCTAAAGCGAGGGTCACATTTTGAGAACCACCCGCCATCCATCTTTGACAGTGTTACCGACGGTCAAACAAGTTCACGCGGCGCTAAAGCGAGAGCTACCTTTTGAAAAGGAACCACTCTCCATCCTTGAATGTGTTGCATACTTGTACGACGAATGTGCCCGGCGCTGAGACGAGATCCACATTATGAAAACGGCCCGCGCTCCATCTCTGAAACTGCGGCAAGTTTTTTAGACGAATGTGCACGGCTCTGAGGCGAGAGCCGCACGGTGAAAACGGCCTGCCTTCCATCCGCGGAGCTGCGGCAAGCTTTTAAAACGAATGTGAATGGCGCAAACGCGATTGCCATATTTTTTGAAACCGGCACGCCCACCATCCGCAAAGCTGGTACAACCTGGCGAGACGAGCGCGCGAGGCGCAAAGGCGCGAGCCACATGTTGAAAACGACCCTCCTCCATCCGTAAAGCTGTTGCACGTGTTTCAGACGAGTGCACGCGGCGCGGAGGCGAGACCAGGCCGCCGTCCACCTGCGAGACGGTTGCAAATCTCAAGTTTCAGAATCATCCATGGTGAGGAAGTCTCGGGCGAAACGCCCAGCCCGCCCTGCCGACAAGTCTGGGGGCGCGGCGGGAAGTATTAATTATAAGGAAAAGGGGGGGGAGAAGGAAGAGGAGGAGCAGCAGCAGGAGACGCAGTAGGAGCAGGAGGAGCAGGAGGAGAAGGGAGCCTGGCCTTCCCCGCGCCGAGGCGCGACCGCGACCTGCCCCCCCCCCCCCCCCCGCGCCCTTCCGCTCGCAGGTCCGGCGTGCCTGACCGGCTCGGTGGGCACCAACGCCAGCCAGGCGCCTCTGAGGGGCACTACGGCTGGGGCGCCGCACGACCCGGGGGCGTCCGCGTGTCAGGGGCAACGTTGGGGGGAGGGAGGGCTGGATGGGCTCGGTAGGCTCAGGTTCGAGGTTCGAGGTTCCCCGCAGTGCCCGAACGGCCGCAGGAGAGCTAAGTTCAGGCCCAAATTTTATGGGCAATGGGGCAATGTTAGGGTGGGATAGGCTCAGGGGGGGGGATTCATCGACCGCCAGTCGCCCACGTTTTCAGAACGAGTACTGTTCGCACCTGTAGTAGGTAATGCCGCGGCTGCTAGTGGAATTATCATGTCTGCAGCTGGAGTATTACTATTAAAACACTTGGCGGAACCGACTTCGTACAAAAACGAAAATAACATGAGTTTGAAGCTGTTATTCAAGGAAGCTGTCTTGTCGTATTATGATCACTACTTTGCGTGTTAAGAGTTCTATCAAGGCCACCGCGGTAATTTGGTTGACGGTTTACGGCCGGCTCCCAGTTGGCTCACACGGCCCGGGCGGACAATGTGGCAATTTGGGGTCGTTTGTTTTGAGATTGTGCGAGATTTGAACATTCGTTTTGAGAATCCTGATTTTTCTAACGTGGAGTGGTTTCTGCCGTGTCAAATGCTCAGATCTGTAGCTGCAATATTACTGTCGAAAGACGTAAAGAAACTCTAACAATAACGGTCATTACGGTCACGGCGACCACGACCACACGAGCACCCACGACCACCACGGCCTCGGCCAAGAACGGCCACGGCCACCACGGCCACGACCACACGGCCACGGCCACCACGCCACTCACGGCCACCACGACCACGGACAAGTGTTTTGAGTAAAACTACAGCTAACGGTCACAGCCACCACGGACACGGCCACACGGCTTCGACCACCACGGTCATGACCACCACAGCCACCACGGCCACCACGGCCACAGCCACCACGGCCACGGCCGAGTGTTTTTCCCTACCTAAGCTCTGCCTAGAAGGGTTCTTACTGTGTTGGCTTAAAAGGGGCCGGGCAGTGGACCCCGCCCGGGGCGGTTCCCCCGGCATCCGCCCCGCGGTTCCCCCAGTCACGTCTTCTTAGCTTAGCGTTGTTTATCTCATCTTAGCTTAGTTTGTTTTCATCTTAGCTTAGCTTAGCTTCATATTAGCTCAGGTTTATCTTAGCTTAGCTTACCTTCATCTTAGCTTCGCTGAGCTTTAGCATAGCAGAGCACAGCATAGCATAGCATAGCGTAGCATGGGTGTAATTCCCTACCTAGGCTCTGCCCAGAGGGTTAGTTTAGCTTGGCATAGCGCAGTGCTGCATCAGCATAGCATAGCAAATCATAGCATAACATAGCCAAGCATAGCATAGCGTAGCATAGCAAAGCGCAGCATAGCAGAGCATAGCATAACATATCATAGCATAGCATAGCCTAGCATAGCATAGCATGTCATATCATATCATAGCGCAGCATATCATAGCATAGCATGGCATCTCATAGCTTAGTATAGCACAGCGCAGCATGACATAGCATAGCTTAGCATAGCATAGCATAGCATAGCGCGGCACAGCATAGCATATCATAGCATAGCATAGCAAATCATAACATAGCATAGCATAACATAGCATAGCGCAGCATAGCATGGCATAACATAGCATAGCAGAGCATAGCAGCTAATGCTGTTTTCCTAGGGGCTCAAATTTCTAGGTAGGGTCGCACTGGGATAATTATAGTAAAGCTACAACTACCTGCTGGCCGTGGCCGTGCTGGCCGTGCCCGTGGTGGCCGTGACCGTTTCTCGGCCGTGGCCGTGGTGGCCGTGCCCGTGCTCGCCGTTGCCGTGGGCACCGTGGCCGTGCTGGCCGTGGCCGCTGGCCGTGCTGACCGTGGCCGTGGTAGGCCGTGGCCTTGGTGGCGGTGGCCGTGCGTGACCATGCGTGGCCGTGGTGTGGCCGTGGTGGCCGTGGCCGTCGTAGCCGTGGCCGTGGTGGCCGTGGCCGCTGGCCGTGGTGGCCGTTTCCGTGGTGGCCGTGGCCGTGGTGGCCGTGGCCGTGGTGGCCGTGGCCGTGGTGGCCGTGGCCGTGGTGGCCATGGCCGTGGTGGCCGTCAGCCGTGGCCGTGGTGGCCGTGGCTGGGTCCGTGGCCGTGGTGGCCGTGGCCGTGGTGGTTGTGGTCGTGGTGGCCGTGGCCGTGGTGGTCGTGACTGCCCGTGGTGGCCGTGGCTGGCCGCTAGGGGCCCGATATCACCCCCCGCCCAGAAAAGTGCGGATTCGCGATCGGGGGCATGTGTCCGATCTACCGGCGACACGCATCGCCAATTCCAGTTCGATAGTTCTCACCATGCCGTTGCCCCTCAAAGAGCGGGGGGGGATCGTGAGTGGGGCCATAAGATCTCCCAGTTTCCATGACCCCCGAATCCTCTTTCGACACCTCCCCTGGCCCCTACTCGTGCGACAACCGCATCGTGCCATGACGCGCAGCCCAGCCCCTTCCTGGCCCCCTCCCTCGGCGCACGCGAACGACGACGCTGGCGCCGCGGACGCCAAAGCTCGGGTAATCTCACGACTAGGAAAACTGAAACACGACAAGAGAAAACTGAAACACGACAAGGCACGGCTTATTCACGACAAGCAACAAGCAACTTCGCCACGCACTTTGAAGCAACAAGCAACTTCGCCACGCACTTTGACCGCCCACTTTCGCCACCCACGTTCGCCACCCACTTTCGCCGCCCACTTTCGCCGCCCACTTTCGCCACCCACTTTCGCCGCCCACTTTCGTCACCCACTTTCGCCACCCACTTTCGCCACCCACCTTCGCCGCCCACTTTCGCCGCCCACTTTCGCCACCCACTTTCGCCAACCACTTTCGCCGCCCACTTTCGCCGCCCACTTTCGCCGCCCCTTTCGCCACCCACGTTCGCCACCCACTTTCGCCGCCCACTTTCGCCGCCCACTTTCGCAGCCCACTTTCGCCACCCACTTTCGCCGCCCACTTTCGCCGCCCACTTGCGCCGCCCACTTTCGCCGCCCTTTCGCCGCCCACTTTTTTCGCCACCCTTTCGCCACCCACCCAGTATGAAACGCAAAGTGTGTGGCGAAAGTTGGCGAAAGTGGGCGGCGGTAAGAAGTGGGTGGCGAAAGTGCGGTGGCGAAAGTGGGTGGCGAAAGTGGGCGGCGAAGTGGGCGGCGAAGTGGCGAAAGTGGGCGGCGAAAGTGGGCGGCGAAAGTGGGTGGCGAAAGTGGGCGGCGAAAGTGGGCGGCGAAAGTGGGTGGGCGGCGAAAGTGGGTGGCGAAAGTGGGTGGCGAAAGTGGGTGGCGAAAGTGGGCGGCGAAAGTGGGCGGCGAAAGTGGGTGGCGAAAGTGGGCGGCGAAAGTGGGCGGCGAAAGTGGGCGGCGAAAGTGGGCGGCGAAAGTGGGCGGCGAAAGTGGGTGGCGAAAGTGGGCGGCGGTGGCGAAAGTGGGCGGCGAAAGTGGGTGGCGAACGTGGGCGGCGAAAGTGGGCGGCGAAAGTGGGCGGCGAAAGTGGGCGGCGAAAGTGGGCGGCGAAAGTGGGTGGCGAAAGTGGGCGGCGAAAGTGGGCGGCGAAAGTGAGTGGCGAAAGTGAGTGGCGAAAGTGGGCGGCGAAAGTGGGCGGCGAACGTGGGTTGGCTTGTCGTGAATATGTTTCTTCCTTGTCGTGAAGCTTCTTGTCGCGAAACCATCCCGGCCATACGCCGACGCCGACGCCGACGATGGTTTTGAGAAGGAAGGAGGGCCACACGATGTCGGCGAGGAGGGGGAGTGAGGCGAGTGCCGACACTCGCCCGCGCGTGGCTGGGACGTCCTTCTCTTCATACCCCTTCTTCCCACCGGCCCCTCTCTCGATGATGTGCTGTTACCTCACCTCGGAGGGTCATACGCGCCCTCCCAGCAAACAGCACGAGAGCAGAGAGCTTCAAGCTCCCAACCTCCTGATCTGGAGTCCGACTCGCTGCCGCAGATGCTCCCAAGAGGGCTTCGCAGAACCCGTGGCGGGCCCCCGAGAAGGCCCCCTGCCTTGCACGAGCCCCCCTCGCCTGGATGGAAGCCGCCCCCCGCAGTGCGCGATGTGGTGATACAAGTAAGTCGGGCCTGTCCCTGTACTACAGGGGGTATATTCAAAAATAATCACGAAATAATATGGGGGGCATTTTTACTATGTTTGAGCACTTTGGATGTATTCCTTGTATTTCCGAGGACTCGTCACAAATCCGCCTCTATGGGGGCACGCCCGACCTAATGATTATACCATTGCGTCACTCCGCGGCCCCGAGGCTCCCGACCCACTCCCCGTCGCGCTGCGCACGGACCGCCTCCCCCGGCAGCCCCGGCGGGCTTCCACAGGCCCCCGTCGAGTTAGCCCGGGGCGGCCTCGGCACTCCGACGCCGGGGCGCGTCGCGCGCCCCGGGGGGCGCCGCCGGAGGGGCGGTGTACTCGTGGGGCCGGAGGGGGGCGCGCCCCCGGGGCGCCGGAGTGTCGAGGCAGCCCCAGGCTGCTCGTGGGGCCTGCTGAGCATTGTCGGGGGTGGACAGAACCCCCAACAGTGACACGTCGATTAGTGATTTGTCCGTTTTCGGTTTTCGAGAGGGCGCCGTGGCCGTTATTTTCCAGGCTTGCGCCCGCCAGGTTTGGGCCTCAGGTCGTTTTCACTAAACCACGTTTTACTAAAGGGGGTTCTGTCCATCCCCGAAGCATTGGTTCTTCTCGAAAACGCCCTGGACCTCTTCGTTTGCCGTGGTGCACTCTGGGCTCCTGACGAGCCAACAAAAAAAGAAAGCACGCGACGCGTCCGTCGTGTTGTCGGCTCTTTCTATTCTGGGTCTGTCGGGTCCGTCGTTGTGGATCGTCGTTTGCTTAGCGTGCGTTGCTTTCTGGTCGAAGGCTGTGTTTTTCTTTCCTACTGTCTTCGATCCAGTTTTTTTGTTTCTGCTGCCGCTCTCCCTCTCGGAGCTCAGATGCAAAAAAGGAAATTATTCACTGCGTGGAGCTCCCCATATGTGCATCTACTCGCATGGACCTGTCCGCCGTGAATGTCTAGGCGCAAGAGCTTCCGAATATTAACGGGCTTCAGTTGTGACGGTCTGGACATCAATCTAACTGCGAATGAATCGGAGTGTGAATGAGCCCCAGCAGTACGAGCGCGTCTCTGTGCATGAGCCTGGGGCCTCCTGGGGCCTCCTGCTGCCGCTCTCCCTCTCGGAGCTAAGATGCAAAAAAGGAAAAACAAAAAAAATAAAACACAAGATAACCACCGGACACCGATCTTACACCGGCTCGCAACAGGGGGCGGAGGCCCGATGGCCCCAGGAGGGGGCACTCGGCCATCAGGCCCCGGAGGCCCGACGCCCCGGCCAACCGCGAGGGCAAGAGAGCAGCAAAAGGAACACAAGAAGAACGCCAGGAGAAGGAGCTGAGCGAAGGATTGCAAAAAAAAGCCCTTCGTGCGAATCCTTCGTTTTTTGCAGTCCTGTTTTTTTTTTGCAATCCTTCGAACAAGAAGAACGCCAGGAGAAGGAACTGAGGGCGTCGTGGACGGCAACGTTAAGCAATGCAACCAACTGACCTGAAAATGCGGTTGACTGAAGGAACAAAAAGGCAGTTAAACACGCAAAAAACCTTACGTTGTTTTAGCGTGTTTAGTTTTCTTGCTGGGGCCTAAAGGCTACAAAATAATGTCCTACACGCCGGGTAAAAAGCGGTTTTAAAACGCGTTGGGCAGATTCAAGAAGAACCAAGTTGTTGAGGCCAGCTGGGACTGCCTCGGGGGGCTGTCTGTGCACAGCCCGAAGCTTTACCATACCAGATCAGAGAAGAGAAAGAATATGAAGGTTACGTCGGAGGTCACGTAGGAGGTCTGGGCAGGCGCGCGAGTTCTTCGTCGGCCTCTCCACGCCTCGCTTGCTGGGCTTGCGCTGCTCCGGCGCCCTCAACTTCGCGCGCTCCACCGCGGATGAGACGCAGGCGCCTTAGGGGGGGGGCGCAGAAGCCAGGGACGGCGAGGGGGGGGGGGCTCGAGGGAAGCAGGGACGAGGACAACGAGGACGAGGACGAGTACAGGGAGGGTGGGAGGCAGGCAGGGAGGGAGAAAGGGAAAGGGGGGAGCGATCAGGAGGTGGAACAGGAGGAGGAAGTGAGCGAGGAAGGAGGAGGAGGGCGGACCAGGAGGAGGAGGAGGAGGAAGAGGAGGAGGAGAGGGTGGACCAGGAGGAGGAGGAGCAGGAGGAGGAGGAGGAGGAGGAGGGACGAGAAGGGACGAAGAAGAAGGAGGAGGACGAGGAGGTAAGAGGCAGGATAGAGGAGGGAAGAGGACAGGGAGGAGGAGGAGGAGGAGAAGCAGGAGGAGGAGGAGGAGGAGGAACGGGAGCTGAGACGAACTCGGGCGAGGAGGGCGGATGAAAGAGGAGGAGGAGGAGAAGCGAGGAGGGCGGATGGAGGAGGAGGAGGAGGAGGAGGAGGAGAGGAGGAGGAGGAGGAGGGGCGGCGATGAAGGACGGAGAAGAGAGGGGCGAGGAGGAGGGACGAGGGGCGAGGCTCAAGGCTCGAGAAGGAGGAGGAGGAGGAGGAGGAGGAGGAGGAGGAGGAGGACAGTGCCGACCGCCCTGGCGCCCCCCCCCCAAATGGCGGCCCGCCAGGCCTCGAGCTACAGAGAGCACGTGACCCATTGCGTGCTGCGGGCAGCCAGCCTCAGCGGCACGCACACGCTCGCGGTGGAGGCCCCGCGTGGGCCCCGGAGGGGAAGGGAGAGAGGAGGGAGGGAGGAGAGAGGATGGAGGAGAGAGGAGGGAGGAGAGAGAAGGGAGGAGAGAGGACGGAGGAGGAGGGAGGAGAGAGGAGGGAGGAGAGAGGATGGAGGAGGGAGGATGGAGGGAGGAGGCAAGGAGGAGAGAGGAGGAAAGCGGGAGGAGGGACGAGGGCCGAGGGGGCAGGGAGGAGGAGGCAGGAGGAGGAGGAGGAGGCAGGAGGATGAGGAGGAGGAGGAGGAGGCAGGAGGGGAGGAGGAGGAGCAGGAGGAGGGGGAGGAGGAGCAGGAGGAGGGAGGAGGAGGGGGAGGAGGAGCAGGAGGAGGAGGAGCAGGAGGAGGAAGAGGAGCAGGAGGAGGAGGGAGGGAGGAGGAGGGAGGAGGAGGAGTGGAGGGGGAGGGGGAGAGGTAGGGGGAGAGAGAGAGGGAGAGGAAGAGGGAGGAGGAGGAGGAGGAGGAGGAGGAAGGAGGAGAAGGAGGAGCAGAGCGGAAGAGGGCGGAGGAGGGGGGAAGGACAGCCAAAAACATGGAGTAGCAGTCAAACTAAGGCCCCGTCTGCCGAAGAGAATGATCAGGACCTCGACACCGAAGAGGAAGATGGCGGACGAGGGAAGACGGCCCGACAGGAGAAGGTGAACGGCGCAGACCAACGGGTCCGATTGTGCCGACATTGGCGCGTAAGCTGCCCGCGTAAGGAGGCACGAGAGCGCCCTCGTCTCCACTATAGCGTGCCGCGCTGGCGGCCCGTGTAAGCCCCCGCGGAAGGATGCCGTCTCGCGTCAGACCCGCTTTTGGTCGTCGTTCAGGTGGAGACTGGAGGAGCGCAGAGATACAAGGCGCTGAAAGGGTGGGGGGAGACGCGCGAGGCTCCTCCCGCGGGCGGGAGGCGGCGGGCGGGGGAGGGGTGCTGCGGTTGGCGGGGGAGAAATCTGAAGCTCGTGCTCGCCCCAGCCAGCCCCCCGAGCTCTCCGGGTCGGACGGAGGGACTGGGAAGTGGGTTGCGTGCAGCAGGGTTGGACCTAAACGCTGCTTTGCTGGACTTCGGCTGTGTTTCGTTTTTCGCTCTGGCAGGGAAGGTACAGGAAAACAGGCAGAGCAAAACGAAAAGCAAAACGAAAACAAAACGAAAAACAACGTTTAGGTCCAGCCCTGGCGTGCAGCTGTAGCTTCAGCCCCCCGCCGCCAGGCGCTCTCCTCGTGCGCCGGAGGAGATCGGAGGTCTCCTAGCCCCGCGGGGAGGCCTCCAGCGAAAGGTACCCAGAGCCCGAAAGTGTCCGCGAGGCTCCTTGGGAAAAACACCGGGAGCCTGGCGAAGATTGCGAGGGGGGGCCCATTGAGCAGGGAAAACGCACTTCCTGGAGGCCGAAGCTCCGCAGAACCCTCTAAACCCGACGACGACGACGACGACGATGACGACGACGACGACGACGACGACCAGAACGACGACGACGACGACGACGACGACGACGACGACGACCAGAACGACCAGAACGACCACGACAGCGACCACGACGACGTCGTCATCGACGCTGCTGGCGGCTGCGACGACGGCGACGCAGACATCCGCGCATATGATGTTGTCAATCCGCGGCTCGAGAGGTTCTGACCCCTTCCCCAGTCCAGTTTTTCGCCCCAGATCGATTTTTCATGGTGTCGGTTCTGGCCCACCACGCCTCGGCGCGACACGCTATTCTCGTCTTCAGCTCCAAGCGTCAATGCCCCGAGCTTTTCCCAGTCTCCCGCCCTGCGGGGCGCAGCGACACGCGATCCGCTCTCGAGGGAGGTCGTGTCGCTGGGGCCGCCGCGGAGACACGCTACGCAAAAGTTCCTCACCGTCACAGCCCATGGTGGTCGAAACCTAGACCCCCGACGTCGTTTTTCCCACAACGTCGACCACGAGAGGTAGATTCCTTCCCCAGGACTGGGTTCTCATCCTAAGTCGTTTTTGACGGTCCTGGGGCCCTGTAAGGGCCCCCAGGGGTCGAAAATGGCGAAAACCCTCGCGTCGTGATCTCTCACGACGCGAGGGGGTCTGGGAAGCGAGGACGAACGCCGGGAACGGAACGAAGAAGTCGCACCGTCGGAGATCTGGGTCGACGCTGTTGGCGGCGGCGGCAGCGCGAGCCGCTCCCCGGGGCCGAGGCCGCACTGAGGGAGCTCGAGCCGGTCGCCGGCAAGCACCGGCTGCCCTCCGTGGAGGTGCTGCGGCAGCCGCTCAGCGCGGCGCCCGGAGCGGGGGGGGGCTCGCGCGGATCGGCGGGCGCGTCCCCTCCGAGACCCCCTCGAGTCACGAAAAAGTCACGACGGGAGGTCATGAAAAGTCACGACGACGGGAGTCTCACAGACCCCATCCCTCAAAAATCACGCTGAGAGGTTTTTCGTTATTTTCGGCCTCTGGGGGCCCTCAATGGCCCTCGGGGCCGTCAAAAAACGACTCTGGATGGGAAGCTGGTCCCGGGGAAGGTTATGAAACAATGATGACGTCGAGGGTCTGGGAGTGGGGGTCAAGGTGTGCCTGCCTCGGGAGGTTTTGGAAAAGTTTCGTCGGTTCCTGCTTGTAGATAACGCGTGTTACCCCCTCCCAGAGACCCCCCCGTAACGGTAACGCCTGGAAACCCAGCATGGGCGTGAATCTTAGCAGTTTCCATAGGACCTTGTGGGGACCCTCATGCAGTTCCCAGGGATCCTCACAGGCCCCCTTAAAGCCATCCAGTGGTTGAGATTCGAGGATTAGAGGGGACAAGGAAAAGGAGGAAGAGGAAGAGGCAAGAACAGTCTCTTGGATCACCGCAGGGGGTGCTAACACGATGAGGAATTGCGTATCAGTGGATGCTGAGGTGGGTTACTTTTGGTCTAACCTAGCGCGTAAGTGGATCGCTAAGCGGCTCGGGCGGGGTAAAGATCCACGCTAAGCCAGATCCACCCATTCACGTGTTGAGAAATTCAAGACGGAGGTGTTTTTCAATGCTTGGCCATTGGGGGCCCTCGCCTAGCCCCAGGACCGTCAAAACACTACTCGGGATGAAAAAACTGCCCCTGGGAAAGGGTCGTGGATTCAGGTGACCGCGTCATGAAAAAAACGAATCATCGGATGTCAGGGTGGGCGCCGAAGTTTTTCAGGCCCCGGAAGATGTTTCATAGGTTTCGTCGGTTCTTGGAGGGGTCTTCCCTCGCGGTGCGTTTCGGCGGTTGCGCCTGGCCGAGAACTTCTGGGGGTGCCTGGATCATCCCAGACGGCCGCTGGAGACCCGAGTTCTGACCCGAATGCCGAGGGTAGGGCCCATTTCGATCCCGTCGATCAGATTCGATATCGATTTCGGCCAGCTCGCTCCGATCCGATTCCGATATTCGGCCGATCCGATGCGGGCCGATGCTTGCGTGGCGCTGCTGGGCATCCTGGCGCAACCGATCCGACTCGATTTCGACTCCGTGCGGGTGCAGCCCGATCCGACGCACACTTCCCGAGCCGGTGCTCCCTGAGCGGGCCGACACCTCCGAGGCCAGCGCCTGGAGGAAAGAGCCACGGCGTCGGAGGTCGGCCCGCCAGCGCGCACAAGGAGGCAGCGCGAGGGGGGGTAGCCCTCAGAGGAGGCGGGGGTCCTCTTTAGATCGAGCAGCGTCGGAGCGTCCTGGTTTGAAGCTTGGCCGACCAGAGAACGTTTCAAGAACTTGCGGTGGTTTGCGCGAAATGTTACTTGGACATTTCGCGTAAACCACAAAGATTTCGTGGTAGGCCGAGAGGAGTGCCAGGGCGGTCGGTCCCTGCTCAATTAGAAGCGCCCCCGGCTTCTGAGAAGCCCTCGTAATTAGAAGCTTCCGGGCTCTTCTCGGCAGGCCACCGCCTTCTAAGAAGCCCCGCCCCCCCCGCCTTCTCTAGAAGGCCGCGCCTCCCTCGCGCCACCCCTTGCGCCTCGCACCGCCCGCCGCAAGGCCTGCGCTCCGCGCCTGTGCCTCACAGCTGTGGTTCCAGACCCCATCCCTCAAAAATCACGCTGAGAGGTTTTTCGTTATTTTCGGCCTCTGGGGGCCCTCAATGGCCCTCGGGGCCGTCAAAAAACGACTCGGGATGAGAAACTGGTCCTGGAGAAGGGGTCCAGACTTCAGGCCAGCGCGCAGGATCTTGCAGGATACTTCAGTATACTGCAGGATCTTGCAGGATCCTGCAAGGCCTGACTGACCCGGGCTTGCATTGACCCGGGTCAGTGCGTCCCCGAGAGCAGTCATGGGGGCTTCCAAACGGTGTGGTGACCGCACCGCATGGTGAGTCGGTTTTGGGATTCGGGTCGCCCTCCGAGGACGTCTCGTGCGATTGGGGCCTCCGAGGTCCCAAGACCGTGCGGTGACGGACCGCGCGGCACACGATTTTAGGTCCCCCGAGATGTGTCAGTTACCAGTCGACGGGGAGGAAAGCATGCACAAGAGGTGGATGCCCTCCCCCCTCCAGCGCTCCCCTTGGCACGCGCCCCCCGTCCGCAGACGCCGCCGCTCGCGCTCGCGCGCGCGCCCCCCGAGGCTCGGCGAAGACGTCGCTAAAGTACTCCCTTGCGCTCGGCAGGGCGCGCCGCGCCCCTCCAGGGGGTCGAGAGGACGACGACGACGACGGCGACGACGACGACGGCGACGGCGACGACGGCGACAACGACGACGACGGCGGCGGCGGCGACGGCGACGACAGCGACAGCGACGGCGACGTCGACGGCGACGTCGGCGGCGGCGGCGGCAGCGGCCACGACGACGACAACAACGACGACGACGACGACGACGACGACGACGGCGGCGACGACGACAACGACGACGACGGGGGGGCGACGGAGGTGTCGGAGGTGACGGTGTGATGCAGAGACGGGGTGACGGAGTGACGGCTTGATGGAGTGACGGAGTGACGGAGCTAGGGAGTGACGGAGTGACCGTGTTTCAGGCATGTGGCCAGGGCATTCCGCCCGAGCCAAGGTTTCCAACGGTGTTTCTGCCAGGCGGAGTCCCATTTTCAAAATCTTTTTCCCCAGGCGCCCGACAGCTAGAGGTTGGAGAAAGTGCCTGCAGCAGGTCCACCAAATACGAAATTGGCCTGCCATCGGGTGCCCACGGTAATTTCTTATCTCCACATTGGGGCCGCAGAACCCCCGGGCACTTTGCGAAGCTCGGAGTCGGCGAACAATGTGCCCCTAGATTCCGTATAGCAAGGTGAGGTGGCGGAGGAGGAGGAGGAGGAGGTGATGATCATGATCATGATCTTGATCACAAGTATGATCATGGTTTTGATGATGATCATGGCGACGGTGATGGTTGTGGGGATTGTGATGACGATCATGGTGGCAATGGCGAATTGTGATGGTGATGGTGTTGGCTATGTTTACGATAGTGATGATAATTCTGATGAAATGATGATGATGATGATGATGATGATGATGATGATGATGATGATGAGGAGGAGGAGGATGATGATGATGATGATTCGATTCGAGGCGGCTGAATGCGAACATGGAGCACGTAGGCAAGGATGATGATGCTGATGATGATGATGATGGTTATGGTGTTGGTGATGGTGATGGTGATGGTGATGGTGATGATGGTGAGGGTGATGGTGATGGTGGTGATGGCGAATGGTGAGACTGATGCTGATGATGATGATGCGAATGGTGAGGGTGAGGTCCAAGATGATGATTTCTACAGTTAATGATAAGGAGAATGAGGATGAGGATGATGATAACGATGGTGGTGATGATGACGATAAGGATGATGGTGATGATGGTGAGGATGATGTGGATGGTGATGATGATGCTGATGATGACGGTGATGACGACGATGGCGATGATGACGATGGCGATGATGATGATGATGACAATGGCGATGACGATGATGACGATGGTGGTGATGATGATGCTGATGATGATGATCATGATGATGATGCTGATTACTGTATGATGATGTTGATGCTGATGCCGATGGTGATGATGATGATGATGATAACGATGATGATAATGCTGATATTGATGACGATGTGGATGCTGATGCTGTTGCTGAGGATGCTGATGATGATGATAACGTCGATGATGCTAAGAATCATAATAGTTGTAATCATCTTAGACATAGTAATGAGGATATTAATATGAAAACCGATAATCCTAATGATAATGCTGATGATGGCGATGGTGATGATGATGATTATGTCGATGCTGATGCTGATGCTGATGTTGGTGCTGGTGCTGGTGCGGGTGCTGATGATGATGGTGATGATGATGTTGATGATGGTGATGTTGATGATGATGTTGATGATGGTGATGATGATGCTGATGCAGATGAGGATGAGGATGATGACGATGATGATGAGGATTATGATAATTATGATGATGGTGATTATGATGATGATGATGATGATGGTGATTATGATGATGATGATGATGATGATGATGATGATGATGATGATGATGATGATGTTGATGATGACGATGATGATGATGATGATGATGATGATGATGATGAGGAGGAGGAGGAGGAGGAGGAGGAGGAGGAGGAGGATGATGATGCCGACGGCGATGATGACGAGGCGAGGATCGGTGTCAGGGCTTTTCCTGGTGCCCTCCGACCTGGCAGCGCGACGGGCGCCATGAGCTTTGCGCGCGGAGCGGCCAGGGCGAGCTGGAGCGGCCCGGGGCCGACGGCGACGAAGGGCGGCGAGGGACGGGCCGGGGCGGCTCCAGGCCGTCAGCGGCTGCGGGCGAGCTGGAGCAGCGCGGGGCCAGCGGCCGGAGCGGCACAGGCCTCGAGGCGGGCTGGAGCTCAGGGGAGGAAAGGGTCCGGCTTCCTCCTCGCTCGGCGGGGGGGAAGCAATCAGGGGACGCTCCCCGCTCCCCAAAACTCAGAGTTGGCACGCGCGGGGGGCGGGGGAGGAGACTGCGGTCGAAGCGGAACTCATCAGGCCCACCGCCAACTTTGACCGATGAATGTGGCATGCGCGTTCGTTCTTGTGGTGGCCTCCGGCCAGTGCCGCCGATCCGGGGCGCTCCGGATGATGATGATGATGATGATGATGATGATGATGATGATGATGATGATGATGATGATGATGATGATGATGATGATGATGATGATGATGATGATGATGATGATGATGATGATGATGATGATGATGATGATGATGATGATGATGATGATGATGATGGTGGTGGTGGTGGTGGTGGTGGTTGGTGGTGGTGGTGGTGGTGGTGGTGGTGATGATGATGTGATGATATGATGGTGATGGTGATGGTGATGGTGATGGTGATGATGATGATGATGATGATGATGATGATGATGATGATGATGGTGATGGTGATGGTGATGGTGATGATGATGATGATGATGATGATGATGATGATGATGATGATGATGTATGATGGTGATGTGACGATGATGATGTGATGGTGATGGTGATGGAGATGGTGATGACCCCGGCCCCCCCCCCCCACACCCCCTCCCTCTCCTGTACCCCCCCTCTCTCCTGTCCCCGCCCCCCCTCTCTCCTTTCCCCCCCCCCCCTCTCTCCTGTCCCCCCCCCCTCTCTCCTGTCCACCCCCCCCTCTCCCCCCCCCTCTCTGTCCCCCCCACCCCCCCTCTCTCCTGGGGGCTGGCAGGGGCGGGGAGGTGCCGAGCACTGAATTCGTCAGTTAATTACGTCCCCCCCCCCCCTCCCAAGCAGAGCTAAAGCTCATGCTGAAGCAGAGCTTCAGCTTAGACTTCTTAAACTCACACGCCGGATCGGCGGATTTTTCTTGTCCGAGGCCTGCGCCAAGGCTAGGCGTGCAGGCCACACTCAGATCCTCTCCAAGGCCCCGGCCGTTCGAGACGGCAAGATGGTGGGGAGGTTTAGCAGCTAGGCGCAACAGTGTACAGTGGATGCGGCTGTGCTTCCCCAGTCGTTCTAAACCAGCGCGAGGGCGCTGAATGTTACGACAGTTTTCGATAATTGCAGCATTCCTTGAGACATCCTGCGGATATCCTCGGTGCAAAAAAGTCCGAGGCCTGTCTCCCTGCGAAAAAATCACGACGGGGTGTTTGGGGCCCTCGCCAGGCCTTTGGGTTGTCAAAAAAAGATGGCTCGGGACCCGAACAGCCGGTCCTGGGGAGTAGGTTCAGGCTTGTGGAGATCGACGATGCGCAACAATCACGACGTCGAAGATCTAGGTATCGATACCGCTACTGCCACCCCTGCACTGTTTTCGCCTTTGTGGGCCTCCTGGGAAGGCCTCGTCGCCACTGCTGGATTCGCCTTGAAATTCCGGTCAGAGCACAAACCCGGAGAAGTCGGGGGAGTAGCGGCATGGGTATCTGTAGGGTTTTCCCAGGAGCCGTGGCAGCAAAGGGATGCGGCAGTCGAGCCGACCATGGCGACGGCGTGAGCTCTACCCGCCCAGCGGTGACGTCGCGCAGTCGCGCCAACCACGGCGACGGCACGGGCTCCACCCGCGCATCGGTGGCGTCGGGTGCAGCTACGCCCGCCCCTCTTGTCGAGAGGAGGCCCTCCATGTTCGACGAGATCGTCATCGGGGACACGGCTGAGGGCCAGCGCTACAGGCTCCTCCTCTTCCTCCCCCTCCTCATCCTCATCCTCATCCTCCTCTCCCTGTTCCTCCTCCAGGTGGCTGAACGAGTTTCTAGGCTGCCCCAGAGACGGGTGCCTGGGCTGGGAGCTCTTTGTGGAGGTCATGCGCGTGCTGCTGGGCGAGCGCATCTCCGATGCGGACCTGCGGCAGGAGTGGGAGGACGCGGAGGGCCCCGGCATGACGGTGAGCCGGCTGTACACGCTCCTCGTCTCCCCGGACCACTACCACGTCCCCGATGCCCTGGACGAGCTGTCAGAGTTGGCCCGGCTGTCCGAAGAGGAGCGGATCAGAGCCGAGGGCGAGTTGGAGCGGCTCAGGGCCGAGTGCGCGCGGCAGAGCTCGGACTTGCAGCAGCTGCGCGGGCCATCGGACCGCAGCGGTGGCGACGCGGACGCTGACGGAGATCCATCTCGGGAGCAGTTGAGGGCAGCCGAGGCCGAGGCAGATTCGCTGAGACGGCGCTTGACGGCCCTGGCGGAAGAGCATGCGAAGAGTTTGGAGTTGGCAGAGCGCAGCTTGGAACTGGCGGAGCGCACAAAGATGGAGCTACAGGCGGCCAAGGGCGAGGTGTCCATGCTTCAGCAGCGCTTGGCGGCCCAGGCTCAGCTGCAGCCGATCCACAGCAGGTCGAGCAGTCCCGCTGCGGCGGAGCGCGAACGTACTTTTGCCATTGGCGACGAGGTATGGGTCTTCGAGACTGGCAACTACCACGAAGCCACAGTGAAGGAGGTACATGCTGACGGGTCATACACAGTGGAACATCGCGTGACGACAGCCTCGCAGATGCAGATCCAGCGCGAGGAAGGGTAAGTTTGCCCCAACGGTCACATACCAAAGAAGAAGTCTGCCAAAGACGACATGTCCTGCAACGCGTTCCAGGCCCGGGTGAACCAGGATGCCAGCTTGCGGGGCAGCATTGACTGCCAGCTCTGCAGACGCGAGGAAGAAACACGCTTGCGACGTAGGAGCTTGGAGGCATAGCGACCTGAGGCCGGGGAACCCCAGCCGCAGAACTCGGTGCTGGAGGAGAAGGTGGTGCTGCAGTCGGCGCAGGCCAGGCGGGGAAGGAGCGACGGCGCGGAGCCGCGCCCCAGTGTTCGGCACAGGGCGGTGTGTGATTGGCGGAGGCCGTGGCGTTGCGCCAGACTGTGCCGCTGGCCGCCGTCATGCCTTGCGGCGAGGTCAAGGTCGCCACGCCGACTGCGCATGCCGATCCGACTGCGCAAATCGCTTGCATCCTGAGCGGTTGCCTGCGGGCCGCTCATCCCGACCTGCTCGGGCGCAGCGTGATCATATCGGGCCGAGTCTCGCAGCGACTGCTTGCTGAAGTGCGACGAGCGGTCGCCTGGGCACACTCGATCGGCCTGTACTGCGAGCATGTCGAGGCGCCCTGCCGAAGTTGCAGACCCATTCGAGACGAAGCACAACTGCCCGAGATCAAATCTTTTTCGCCACCAGAAATCAAGGAATGAAGTTTCAGTGATGTGGGCGAGCCCAGCCCGGCTGAGCGCCACTTAGCGCCCTGCGATTTTCCTCAAGACACCCACTGTCGGACGGGGCTAGGACGAGGATAACTCCGTTCCAGATCGTTCCGAAAAGGCTCTCAGTGTGTTCTGGAACGCTCTGACAGGGCCGCGGCGCCCGATACATCCTCCAGAGCCGCCGGATCCCAGAGATTCTCGATTTATCCGCACCCGATGTTATCCTCGTCCTGGCCGTTGTCTTACACTGAGCCACAACGACTACGGACCTACCCTGAGATCCGCCGTTGCCAAAGACAAGTTGCAGCCTCGCAGAAACAATCACCAGCGGAGCCCTGGACCCCATCTCTCTGCGCTGCTTCTCGAGCCGGATCGATCTGTGAGGGTCCCGGGGCCCGAAATGGGGCTCGGAGGTTGCTAGATCTCCTACCCTGACACGTCGATTAGCGAATTGGCCGTTTTCGGTTCGCGAGAGGGCGTCGCGGTGGTCAGTTGTGCGGGTCCAGATCTGTCGGTTTCGTTCCTGGGCCGCATTCGTGAAAGGGAGGTGTACTGCAGGGAGGCCTATCCACCGCCGAGGGGCGACCGCGCCCGGAGTGCAAGAACGGCCAGGCCAGGCTCCAAGGGGTGCCGCTTGCCACGAGGCTGCTCCACGGACCGCGCCCTTCGGGGCGCTCGATTGCAAAAAACGAAGGATGGATTGCAAGAAGGATTGCAAAAAAAAACCCTTGAACGAAGGATTGCAATCCTTCGGTTTTTTTGCAATCCTGGTTTTTTTTTGCAATCCTTCGGTTTTTTGCAATCCTTCGTTCAAGTGGGGGCGCCCCGCGCCTGCGGCGGGCCGAGTCGCGGCGGGAGGGCCGGCGGAGCTGAGGAGCGGCGGAGGCGGAGCGGCGGCGGGCCCGTCGGCGGAGGGCTCGGCGGACGGTGGCGGCAGCGGGCCTCCCCCGACGGGCCCCCAGGAGGCCCCGGGAGGCCCCAAGGATCGTCCCCAGGCAGCCCCTCCTCCTCCCTCCTCCTCCTCCTCCTCCTCCTCCTCCTCCTCCTCCTCCTCCTCCTCCTTCCTCCTCCCTCCTCCTCCTCCTCCTCCTCCTCCTCCTCAGCCCCCCAGAGGGGCCGAAAGCGGTCCCAGAGGACCCCCAGACGGCCCCAGAGGGCCCCAAGGCGGCCCAAGAGGGCCCCAGGACGGCCCCAAGAGAGCCCCGAGAGAGCCCCAAGAGGCTCCCAAGAGGGCCCGAAGAGGCGGTGTGGGCACAATCGGAGGGCCAAGCCGACCTGCTTCCAGAAGATCACCATCTGGGGCCAATGCCAGATACCGCTCTCACGTCATAGCCAAAAAAGCGTCTACGGACACGCTGGGTGCCGTGACGCCCATAGATTTCAGGGCGGATTGGGTCTATGGACAACGTGGCCGCTGCGTTCGGCGCGGGTCTCCCCCAGATTTTCGCTTCTTTTTGGGGCCCCTGGAGCCCTCTTGGCCTCGTGAGGGGTGCTCTGGAGGCCGTCGGGGCCGCCTTGGAGATCCTGGGGGCACCTTGGGCCAGAGGGACTTCTAGCAGCACCCGAGGAGCCTTGCGCCCAGGAGACGCCTGGGCAAGATTGCGCGGACGGCAGCCAGGAGTGGCAGGCAAGGAAGCGCAGCCGGACTGCAGAGCCAGGCGGGTCGCAGGAGGTGGGGGCGGGGGGAAGGAAGGGGAGGAGGCACGCAGAAGGGCCAGGCGTCAACGTTTTGGGGCTCAGGGTTCCGGACATCGGCCCCATTCACCAGCCTCGAATTGATCATTATCCCTGAGAGCGGCAAGCCACTGGGCGATAACAATCTCAGGGATGCGTCCTCGAAAGCTGAAGGTACCTTTCAGATCGGCATCGAGATGAGGCGATGCCATACATAAGTATAGCGGTAACTACACGCCAGTCGCTAGAAGTTGATATGTTTGGGCCCCCAGGTCCCAATCTCTTTTGGGCGCCCTCCTGCCTGAAGGGTCGAGCGGTTTTACCTCCTCCCTCTTCTTCAGGGGGCGGGCGGAAGCCCAATCTACTTCCAATGCCCTCCTGCTTCATGTTTCTACCCACATCTTCCGACCGACGGGCAGGGATGCGCCCTCAACAATTGAGGGAACCCTTTAGATCGGCATCGAGATGAGGCGATGCCAGACACAGGGATATGGAATGGATATGTTCCAGGCTGGTGTAACAGACGGGGTGCATCTGACGCAGCCCCCCCTGGGCCCTGCTGCCGCTGCGAAGGCCTCGCCTCGAGCTTACCGGGCCGCTGGGTAAGGGGGCGCTGGAGGGCCAAGACACCTGCACGATTGTCTGGCTGCCTCCGGCAACGCCGCCACCGCCGTGCCAGCGCAGCATTCTGGGTGGCGGCACGACGAAGCCCAGACGAGGGTCAAATCGAGTAAGGATAAATCGGGAATCCCTGAGATCCGGCGAATCTGAAGGATGTTTCGAGCGCTGCGGCCTTCTCAGAGCGTTCCGGAACGCTATGGAACAGATTTATCCTTGTCCTGGCCCCGTCCTAGGCGGGGGCTTGCTGGGGGCCTCTTGGGGCAGAAGGCTCGAATTCTTGGTTCGTGTTCCCACTCGTGGGCCCTCCTAGGGCAATCTTTGGCGCCTCTTCGGCCGTCTTGGAGCCCTCTTGGGCCGTCTTGGAGCTCTCTTGGGTGCCTCTTGAGCCGTCTCGGGGGAGTCTTGGTGGCCTTTTCGGCTGTCTTGGAGCGTCGGAAATCAATGGCGTTTGCCTCTCGGGGCCCTCTTGGAGACCACTTGTGAGGGCGTCTTTTGGCCCTCTTGGGGCCTCCTGAGCCCTCTTGGGCCCGAAGGCTCTAACTGTCGGTTCGTGTTCACCCTCTTGGACCCGTCCTGGGGCCCTCTTGGGCAGTCTTCGGCGCCCTTGGGGGCCCTCATTGGAAACATCTTGGGGCAGTCCTGGTGGCCTCTTGTGTCGTTTTGTGACGACGGAAGCTCGAAACACATGAAAATACCAAAGGGAAAGTGATGATTGTTGCGTCTCGGGCTTCTCTTGCGTCGCGGTCTCTGGGACGCCTCGACGGCAGGTTGGGCTGTCATTTGACCATCTTGGGCCGTCTTGGAGCCAATTCAGGCCGTTTTAGAGGCATGTTCGGCAGGTTTGGCGGCTTTGATGGCCTTCCTCGGCCGCCTTAGCAGACCCCCACGGAGACGCCATGGCCGCCGAGGGACCCTCAGAAGTAGGGGTAGTGCACGCACGCCACTGGCTTTGAGTCGGGCCTGTCCCTCTACACGGTGAATCGTCAAAAATAGTAACAAAAAATAGCATGGGGACTATTTTTGGAGCATTTGTTGACCATTTTAGAGTATGTGTTGGGTTATGTATTATTTTTCATCCAAAATCCCCCTGTAGGGGGACAGGCCCGACCTAACACTGGCTGCGACGAGAGGGGTGGGTGGGTCACCTAGAAGACTACAGAAGCCCTGCCAGGCAGCACCTGGCACTCTGCCACGCCTCCACGTGCCAGGAGGCACGGTGTGGCGGATGGGCTTGACGGCCCGTCAGCCGAGCACGGTGCCAAACATTGGTCGGGTGTTGCTAGAAGTACCCCTGGCCCAAGGTGCCCCCAGCTGTTCGATCTATTTTGGAGCCCCTGGGGCCCTCTGGGCCTCGTGAGGGGTGCTCTGGAGGCCGTTTGGGCTACCTCGAGAATCCTGGGGGCACCTTGGCCCAGGGGCACTTCTAGCAACACCCGAATTGGAGACGCTCAAACGAGAGTGTGAACCCGCAGGTTCTCCATTGATAGTGGCGTCCCAGTGCCTTGCAGGCTGGTCATGGTGCCGTCTGGTCGGGTATCAAGACCGCCTCAGGTGCTCCGCATGAGTTGCACATATAAAAGAACAAGACACGAACACGCACACAGACGACACAAGGCCGAGAGCATGGTTGCTGACTGATAACGCCTGGGCACGGCAAACGAGCACTGCACTAGTGATTATCGTAATTATCGTTCCGGTCACCGCGTTACAGCTAGCGAAATGATCTGCTTCATCATCCGTAAGAAGGTTTGGATCAGGGCTGCACTCTGCGAGCGCAAATGGATGCGCACCGCTTAGTGGGGGCACGGCTGAACAAACCCTCCATCCCCTCCAGTCGGTTGGCGAACGGAGTTCGGACAGTGGGTGGCGAGGCGGCAGCTTGCCACGCATGCCGCGCGCGGTTCCACCTACTGGTCTTGGTCGCCTTCTTCCTCGTACATACTCTTCCTCTTCCTGCGACCTCCACGTCGCCGTCCTTATCCGCCCGATCGGTCGATCGGACCTACTTGGGAGCTCGGCTCGATCCCTGATCCTTCTCTTCCTCCTCCTTCTCCTTCTCCTCCTTCCCTCCTCGATCTTCGAACGCCCCTCGCTCCTCGATCCTCGATCCTCCTTCCCTCGAACTCTGATCACCCTCCTCCCCCCTGGCAGTCGCCCCGTGCCGACAGGAGGCTGCAGCCCTAGGGGGAGACTGCGGTGGACGCACGGGGCCTGTAAGGGGGCTTCTTTGTCAAGCCCCCGATGAGCACCACCGCAGTGCCCCCCTGGGCTAGGCCCCCCTGGGCGACACAGGCATAATTCGGGCCTTGGAAGGCCTGCCCTTGCACGTCCCCTACCCCACCTTCCCTCCCTGCCCTCCTCCCCTTCATCCGGTGGGACGCCGAGCTGGACGTCCGTCCTCTTGCTCATCCTGCTCCTCCCGATCCCCCCTCGCAGGACTCCTCCGCTGGTCCTCCCTCCACCTATCGATGTAGGAAGTGCCGCGCCGTGGATGTAGGAGTTGCCACGCCGTGGATGTAGGAAATGCCACGCCGTGGGCGAAGGAATTGCCACGCCGTGGATGTACGATTGGCCACGCCGTGGTCGTCGACCTCGTCCTTGGT